CCCAGCCGTGCCCCTCCCCACCTCGGGTGTTGGTGGCCATATCGGCCACTTTCTGGAAGGCGTCCAGGAAGGCCACAGCAGCCAGCACAGTGGTCCTGGGGAGATGGACAGTGGAGGGTCTGCTGTGAGGTGTCCTCACTTCCCCCGGCCCCTCCCCCAGTCGGGCGCCCTCAGCAGCCTCACCTTAGCTGGGAGTGCAGCTTCGTGGCCTTGGAGTTGAAGTCCTCCCAGATGGGGTAGGAGCTCTGGGGAGGAGATGGGGAGGCAGTGAGACGCCACAGGGCTGCAGGGCTCCCTGCCCCGGGAGAGGGAGGCTCTTGGGCCCCTGGCGGGACAGAGGACCCAGGACAGAGCCCGGAGCAGGAGGAAGCCTGGCCCTGGAACCGATGCCTCTGTGCCTCCCTCCTCCCTGACAATCAGGAAGTTGGGCCTCCTGCCTACAGTCACATCCTCCCTCAGGAAGGTGAAAGCAGTAGATGGCAGGTCCTGTGTCCTCGGGGCTCCCCCGGGCCTGGCAGGGGGTTGGGGTTGAGCCCCATGAGGGCACCATGTTGCCCCGGACGTGGCCCTGGCTGCTCCCCATGGCACCGGACAGAGGCACCGTGTAGGGGGGCAGGGCTCCAGGCACTCCAGGTCTCTATTGGGGCCCCTGAGGGCGCTACTCTGTGCCCTGGAAGCTGCTGCCAGCCCGGCCAGCACCCACCCGGCCAGCAGCAGTGGCTCCCAGGCCCGGGGAGGGTGAGGCAGCCGCAGGGCCCGGCCAGCCTGGCCGGGACAGCCAGGCCCTGGGCTGAATGGGGCCTTGTGCGGCCAACAGAGCCACCTTTCTCCACCCTGGCTCCCCTCCCTCCCCTCCTGGGGACACAGTGTGGCCTTTATCCCAGCCTGGCCCAAAGCTCCAAGTTGGGGGGGGGGGTTCCCAGTAGGGAGGCCAGGCTCCTGGCGACTGAGCTGTCCAGTCTAATCAAGGGGCTCTTCCGGCTGACGTGCCTTCCCATGGCCGCTGGGTCCTGGCCCAGCAGAGCCCCAGCCCCGAGGGTCTCTCCAACCCTCCCTTCCGTGTGGGATGAGGCGCTGTGGCTGATCCCAAGGAAAAAGGGAAGGCAGAGACACTGCCCCGGCTCCCAGGGAGGCTTTGCTGGGCCGGGACCCCAGGGGCAGCTCTGAAATGGCCTCTTCACCGAGGACAGCCTGCAGGGGTGGACAGGAGACAGGGCGGCCTCTGGGAGCCTCAGAAACTCCCTCCCTGCCCAGCCCAGCCCAACCAGTGCCCAGGGAAAGCAAATATTTGAGAAGTTCACACAGGCTGGAGCTGGAGGGGGAGGGGGAGGCTGTGGGTGGGCTGTCACCACTGGGCACAGCTCAGGGGAAAGGGTCCTCCCTGGCAGGCCTGAGGAGCTGACCCTCCCCTTGGCACCCCCAGGGGTCTTCTGAAGGGTGGCACCCCTACCATCTGCACCCCTCCAGCCCCGAACGAAGCCTTGCTGAGATGAGACCTCCAGGGAGAAAGACGATGAGAGGAGGTGGTGGTGTGTGTGTGTGTGTGGGGGGGGGGGGGGGAGTGCAGCGGTCCAGAGGCAGCCGTCCTGGCCGCCAGGAAACCTCTACAGGCCCCGCAGCAGCCCCTGGGCAGCCCGAGAGAGCAAGGGACTAGTTGAAACCGGCAGAGAAAAGTCTGTCCTCCCTACAGGGCCGAGGCCCATCCCAATAGCTTCGACCCAGCCAGGCTCACTCCACCTCGGACCTTCCCAGCCTCGCTCTCGCGTGCAGAGGGGACAAGACGGGGCGTGGGGAGGCCAGGCCCAGCTCCTCCTCAGCAGCTGGACCGAGGACTCCACCCCACTGGTAATTCATAAAGGACCCCGAGATGAGGATCTGAGGGGCCGGAGCAGCCAGTGCCCCAGGAGCATGTCCTCAGGCTTCCCCGGGCCCGAGCCTGGCTGCAGGCTCTAAGACGCTGGGATGTTCTCACTAGTGAGTGTGACCGCGTGCTTGCGGTGCACTGAGCCCTGTCACCGTGGGATCGCATCGAACCCTCCCACCGGCCCTGTGAAATGAATACTGACCGCCCCCATTCTAGAGATGAGAGGCTCAAGGGATGAAGGTTAGGCTGGACCGAGGCTGCCGAGTGGCAGTCAGGATCCGATCCCTGTCTGACGGTCGCTGTGGTCAAGGTCGAGGCTGCGGGGAGATGAGTATCTGGGCATCAGGGTGGGGAGAGGGCAGGGACTGCAGGGACGGGAGAGACCCCCCGCTCTGCCTCCAGCACAGTGGGCGGCTACTCAGGAAGGGGAAGGTGACGTGCTGGTCACCAGAGGTGTCCAAGTGGGAGGGATGAGACCCATGAGGAGGCTGCCGGGGACCCTGGCCCTCAGAGACTCTTTCTGGGTGCTGGACGTGGTCCTAGGGTTGGCTGTGCAGGTGAGCGACCCAGGCTACAACCCCCGAGAGAGGGTTTTCCGGGTGACCCTGGGCCAGGGACCCCTCTCTGAGCCTCAGCCTCCTCACCTGTAAGATCAGGATGGGAAGTATACCTCCTTTGGGGGTCAGTGTAGAGCAAAGTGTAGAGCAAGCATGTCAAACTTGCCTCGTTTATTTTGAACGAGGCACAGCCCGTCCGGCCGCGAGTTTGACATGGTTGGAGAGACTGCCTGGAAAGCACTTAGCATGCGCCAACACCTAGTAAGTGCTCAGGGAATGCTGGCTAACGGGGACATGGGATCCCTGCCTCCCCGCCAGGAGCCCAGCCAGGGCCTCTGGTCTGGGTGACACTCACCACTCCTGAGAGGGCAGGCAAAAGTTACGACCCCGTTTTCTGGATGGGCCAGTGCTGGGAGGAGGCCTCATGCACTCGGCTGAAGGTGCTGCCCGGGCAGGTGGGGACTGAGCAGAGCCCAGGTACTGAGCCCAGTCCTGCCATTTTAGGCAAGTCCCTGCCCCCCTCTGGGCTTCAGTGGGCTTCCTGGCACCAAGTGGGCATCTGAGCTGAGTCCAATGAGGCACAGCAAGCGGGGAAAGCTCCTGAGGGCCCCCTCCCCACCCTTGAGTGGGTGCCCGCCTCCACACCCTTCCAGCTCCAGGTACAGCTTGGGGAGCCCTTCCTTCCAGCCCTCAAGCCAAGGTGTGGGCCTTCAGAAGGGCCAGGGTGGGCTGTTGTGGGGCCAGTGGAGAAGCCTCATGGGGCAAGGTCAGTCTCTTGACATGGCCGCCCTCTGTGGAAGAGTCAGAAGCTGTCCCCTAAAGCCAGGTGATGGGCCTCCAGGTGGCCCAGTCCCCTGCTCTGTCCCTGGCCGGAACATATGCATGTGTCACAGGCAGGGGAATATCTGTGCTTGGCATCGCCCCAGGTGAAACCTCTCCCGTTTTGCCTCCACGTCAGAAAATCCTGCCTGAATCTCTAGCTATAACCTGGGCCCGTTTGCTTCTGTCTTGTCCTCAAGTTCCTTGCAAATACCCTGGAGAGGGAGAGGGAGAGAGGCAGTCCTACCGCTCTTCTCGGAGCAAGAGCTGCTGCTCTCTGCAGTGTTTTGGAGAGGCTGCCGGCAGGAGGAGGGTGCTGGCCCTGGGAGTGGCTGGGGGGGAGGGTGGTCCGGGCTGCCCGGTCCCAGAAGGAGACCCTGGTGCCAGGGCTGTGATGCCCACAGGGCAGGAGGAGCTGCTGAAGGCAGACAGAGGCCAGCACTCTTCCGGGCCAGAAGGGCGAGGTAGACGGTCTTAGGGGAAGCACCCCATATGGGGGTGGGGGCACCTCCATGCTGCCTGCCCGTGGTCCCCGGCCAGGGGGCTTCAGGCCTCTTGTGGGGAGCAGGTCTCTGGCATGCCTGTCACCCCCACCTCCGGAGGGCCTGCCTGAGCACAGCCGGGGCAGGTTGCACCTCCGTGAGTGGTGTTTCCTCCTGGGCCTGTGATGTCACCTGGGTTGTGTGGTGTGCTTAGAAGTGTGAAAGGCTGGGAGGGTGGGGGCTCTCAGAGTTCCCGTGGGAACCCAGTTCTTTCTCCTCCCCCACCCCAAAGGAGAAGGGCGGGAAGAGCTCCTGGCCCCATCCCGCCACTGGAGCCAGCCCTGCCACCCGGCCTCTTGGAGGAAGGATGCCCCTGGCCTCCTAGATGGACAAAGAGGGGTGAGGTCAGGGGCAGTGTCGAGCCGTCTCCTGAATGACCTTGAGTCATTCCCCGGCCTCAGTTTCCCCGCCTGGTGAGCCAATGGTGGGCCCGGAGCGGGTGCCTGCTCCAGCCTGACCTTGGGCAATCCTGGGGAGGGGCTGGGGCTGAGGCCCCGGTGGAAGCAGGGTAGGGAAGGCCCTCCCTTGGGGTTGCTCTGCCAATCCCAACCTTCTCCGCTCCTCCTCCCACGGTAAGGACAGAGGCCTCGGTATGCAGGGACACTCAGCCTGGGAACCCTGGAGTTCTAAAGCTTGTTTTGGGGGTTCGGGTCCGGGGGGGGGGGTGACAGTGGCAGGGTCGGCACAGAGGCCGAGGCCGGTGGGGAAGGAGTTAACGGTTCTCCGCTTTATTATTTTCCCCCGCTTTGGTGGTGACAGCATGGACGGGGCTTCAAGGCCAGCCTCTGAGGTATGGGGGGGCCAGGGTGGTGGTAGGGGGCGGAGGCCGGAGAGACCCGGACCTGCTAAAGGTCCACAGAGGCACCCCAGGAGCCAGACCTCATTCATGGTGTGAAGGTCTGGGGCGCAGGGAGCCCGGGTGCGCGCAGGCTCCGCGGGCGAACCCCTGGGG